TGTAGCCAACCTGGTCCGGTGGGTCCAGGCCAAACACACAACAGAAGAAGTTGGAGGCACTACACAGCACCACTTTGTGGGCCAAGATGCTCTTCCCTTCAACGATGAAGACGACGTCAGAGAAGGCTGGCTGCTCCAACGCCTTGCCAAAGTCTTCTGCGATGGTTGAGGTTTGGATTTCAATCCGAGGGGCTTCATCTTGGGGCAATAAAACACAAGGAATGTGAATCTGAGCCCCATCCTCTTATGAAGCAGGGAAGAGGAAGAGTTGTCTCAACAGGCATCATCAAGTTAATCATCACGTTTGTTGGCAAAATATTTGTTACTGAATAGGCTGTCCAACTCAGAGAAAAAGTAAAGTCGATTCCGTCTCTCAAGAAATGTGAAGAAGAGCCACTGTTTATGTGGCTGCTGCAATAAACCATGGAGAGACGACTCATAAAATGCCAGCAATGTTGACTTTACCTCAGTAAGTCTTACTAATGGCAAGGCTTACCTACTGGGGATACTTCAGGCTCAGGTGGTGGGCGGGGCTTGGGCTTTCTCCCCCTGAATCCAAAGAAACTTTTCTTCTTCGTCGGTGTCCTTCCTTCATCAGCAATGTAAACCTAGGGGGGGAAAAGAAACCCTCATCAAGCCTGGATTTCAAATACTCTTACAGCAGCCTATTAATTATTAAAATTGAACTTGTTGTCATCAAAACATTTGAGTTGTAATGGACATCTCTCACAAAAGAGCTACAGGCGACAAAGCTATCTTGACTTGACCTTCCACACCATGCAGAAATTAAACCTGACTTCTGCAACAAAAACCCCTCCAGAGGATTCACTCACTGCTTTCTCGAAGCATTCTTCTACATTTAATTTCAGCTGCCCTGTCATCTCAGTGTATTCCAAGTTGAGTTTCTGAGCCATCTTCAAGCCTTCCTCATATGTAACCACACGGGTGCGATTGGAACTCCAAGGAGGATCTGCCAAATAAAATGTATGTTGAGACACTTCTTACAGGTGAGCTTGCATGTATATGCCAACCTGTATGTACAATGTTTGTGTGGACCTTAGGACAAAGCAGATCCACATAATGCAGGTTGTGTGAACCTTCCGTGGACTAAGTCAGGTCCTCACAAAGAGATTCCCTCTCTGAAAAGCAGATTTAGGAGCATTTAGGGGTCAGGGTTATCTGTAACCAGAAAAAGAGGAAAAGCCAAGGAAACCTTGAACAAAAATCCAGCTTAAAACCATGTAGATCGACAGTTACTAAACAAGCCGAGTACTTTTATAGAGTGTTGTTAAGTACCAAACAAGACAGTAATGTCCTTAATCTGTATTCCTCATCCCTAAGACCGTCTCCCTATTCAACAACGTGCAAATTGACCATGTATTAACATTTGATAACGCCCGCTGCGTAAATCACGCGCTGGCACCTGGACACAGGACAGTGTAATGGATTCCGACTGGTGCAGAGTCTGTGTGGATGCCGCTTGCAACGCGTGCACTAATTCCATATAAAGAGATCCTATTGGACAACCTGCACAGGGAATATACCATTAAATGGACGGGTGTTTTTCTTGTATTTTCAATTTATCATGTATTGACTTCTTTTGACTCTCTGAATGGGAATAAATATGTGCGTGGCAGGTCTTAAATGTTAGTTTAAGACCGGCTCATGAGAACGCTGTGGTTCGGACATTAGTCACGACCATTCTCATGAGCCAGTTTTAAATGCATGCTTAAGACAGGCCAAGTGCATATTTATTCCCTTATGAAATGCTAAATCTAGTTGTTACAGGGTGCTCATCCAAATGGATATCTGACTTTGAAGTAAATATTCCAAGCATAAATCTCAAGTCATTTCCTGATGCACTTGCCTATGTTTGTTGCAACCAGGAGGATTGGAACGTCAGGCATGGCATGGCGGATCTCTGGAACCCATCTCGTTTCAACATTCGCCAGGGAAGTCCTGCTCTGAACAGAGAAATAAAGGTGGAAAACATCCACTTCCTCGTGGTTCAGAGGATAGGACCAAATGAAGGAGTCTGCCTGAACACAGAAAAAAGAGAAACCTCTGAGAGTAAGATGGCACATGCACCACTGGACTTGAATCAAGGCAAACTAACGTTGCTCTACCCCAATCAGCCATTCCTTCACGTACATGTACTGTATAAATTACATGGACGCGCTCAGCCGCTCATGTAACATCTTATAAGACACCCTCATTTGATAGCCTTTCCGCAACATCCTGTGTCAACATCAAAGACTTTACGTGTGTCACCATACAGACGGTAAGTCTACTTGATGGATAACCAAATCTGACCCTCTGTCAGTGATAGGCAGTTATTCACTATTGCACATGGAAAACATGATCTTACATCATGTATGTGTTACAGAACTTCCCCAAATCAAAGTCAGACTGGTAGATTGGTTTATTATAATGGAGGTATAAACGATGTAAAAACAAGTCCGGCAATTTGATTGGCTGCTACCTGTTTTGGTAGATGAGCTAACTCACTGCGGAAAAATTGTTGACAGATACGACAAGTCGGGATTTCTCAACTCACAGTAATAAGTGGACACAAGAGGGCGCGAGGAAAGTAACAATGCACGGCCGCCATAACCAAAGCATAAATGCAGACACTGTCACAGAGGTTTCCAACTTGAGTCAAGTCTAATGTACCACTGGAATAACACACCAATGACACTGGCAGTGTTCTTCCATGGGACATGATCCCCTGCAATCCTACAGGAATATGTGGGTGATTGTCAAAGTGTGACATCATTATGTATAGTCTTTCATATCCCTAGATTTATCCAAAGGATTCTACTTACAGAACGTGGCCTGCTCGACCAACTTCTCTCACTGCTGTGAAGGAGTGCACTCGTCTCTATGTATGGCCAATTGTGTTTCTGTGCCAATTTGAAGCCTTCATCAAACGTCACACAACTGTACTGAGGACTTCCACGAAGGTCTGCACAAAAATAAATAAGTCTGTCTTTAAAACAGTGAAACTGTAGTCAAATTGTTACTTTGGGATCTAGACAAGTAGCAAATTAGCATTATGGGTATGGTTCACAGAGGGCCACCTCATTTTAGGGAACCTGCCCAAACTCGTTACCACACTTTCATCCGACGATCCTGATGCTGAAAAAGCATCATTTGATCCAAAAAGCATAGAAGTTGACGCACAATGCAATCTTTAAATTCAATTACATGTACTTCACCCAGTGTGGCAGTGGAGTAAACTTCCATGAGTGTGAGTACTTCAACACACGTTGAGTACATGAATGAGTACGTGGAATTACACCTGAGCATACCTGCAGAGGAGCACTCACTGTTTTGGGCTGAAAAATAAATTCTTCCATCCAGAACTCTTGCCCCAACATGTGTAATGCACATCAAGTGATGGTGCTACATTCGGCCTATATTTGTTTGTGTATACATGTTAGTGTGCCAAACATAACTCAAATGGTCCCTTAAGTATCAGGGCACTTGCCTATCTTTGTGGCCACAAGAAGGATGGGAGTTGTGGGCATGTGGTGACGGATCTCTGGCAGCCATCTTGATTCAACGTGTTCAAAGGAAGACCGGCACTCCACTGAGAAACACATCAGAAAGAGGTCGGTTCCTGGATAGCTCAGAGGCCGCAGACGATCTATATCTTCTCCCTGTATACCGAGTAATTGGAACATCCTGTGTTTAGAAAATACTTGGACCTACTACGTTGAACTCCTCATAATTTCATTCACGTTATGTTATTCAACTTGTGGCTATCTTTACTCCATTCTAAGGTGTTTGGGGCAGCCGGGTGGAGGAACGATTTTCAAAGTGGAGGGCTAGTTCTTAGACCATCAGGCATCAGTATTTGGAGCCTTTGTGTGTACAACTCAATAGGAATTACTCAAGTGTGAAGGCAAGTATGGACTCAATACAGAATATATGCTGGAAAGTGTTTAACATCCTCCATGTTTTCACACAGGTGGTCCCTGGATGTTTGGACATCATCCAGTGTGAAGAGCTTAAGATATCACACAATATGTTATGAAATTACAAGTCTTTTCTCCCAAAAATACAAAGACATAAAATAATTATACTGTACCCCTGCTGATTCGTCCACAAGCACAGGGTTGAAAGTCTTCCCAGCAATCACAGTTTCAAATGGCCAGCGGTCAAAATTTGTAGGGATGTAACTACGAGGAAAGTAGCCTCGGTAAAGAGAGATACAGAGGCAGGTTTTGCCCACTCCTCCATCTCCTTCAAACAAGACTTTCAGTTGCACTCCATCCTCTATTTAATCCCATATTCATATCAATTTAAAAAATATATAAGAATGTCTTCAAACAAAAATGCTGTTACATGTATTTCAAATTTAAAAAGCAACTTCAACTCTCCACTTTTACTAACTTTGTAAGATTCACTCTTTGTGTATGATGCCAGCTTCCTTAAACAATGTGTATTTTGCCCCCAAAACTAAGTTTGTATAAAAGAGTCTTGATGTAGAAAATAGTCTGCTTCACTAAAACAATTCTCTCGAGCTCAGAAACCATAGAAACCTTTTGGCACTAAGCCAACAATGTACAAGATTTCCTAGTCATGTTAAGAGTGGGGACACAATGTGAATGCAGAAATTTGCAGCCTGCAAGTGCACCACGTACACATGATATGTTAAGTAGGTGCACAATTCCACTGCATCATGACATGCATTGGTAGCGCATGGTTCAAGATCAGGACACCTCTCTCACAACTCACTGGAAGATGCTGCATGTCTGACGATTTCTACCTACCTTTTTTATTGGGCATTTTGACACTTGGGCATTGGAAGATGACCTCATAATCAGACTGTCAATGGTACACTTGCTGATGTGTTGAAGCTAGGTCTAGCCATCTGTCATCTCTGTTCAATATCAAACATGTCAGTAGAAACAGATGAACAATATACAATACCAAATCAACCTACGAGATATCTCTAGGCCAACTTACATAGTTCAAACTGGGTGCTATTCAATACCCAATGATGTACACGTGTTTATTACGCAAGCTTCTGGGGGTACCATGCACTTTCCTAGACTACATGTATATAGCAAAATCCTCAGTCTTCACTCTCTTGTCGAACCATTTCTCTAGATATTATGCAAATGTATTTATTTGTGACAACTGTGGAAATAAATGAATGAATTGTGAAAATGATTTTATTGCTCAGTTGCTGATCTTGACAGGAGACTAGTCATTGAAATATGTTTACTGTCCTCCGGAAAAACTTCAAAAAAAATAATTTGGCCTAGGCCTTTTATTCAAGTCAGGTTTTTCAAGAGTTGGGGGAACAACATTAACGCCCAACAGTAGTCATGGCAGTCTACTGAAGTGCAAGTCCGCTCGTGGCAATAAGGGTTTGCCGTTCGTAGAGCTAGGCGAAGCGGACGACGAACCCCACTGACAACCGGGCCATACGTAGCGGTTCAGTACTGCATCATGTGGCCGTTGTGATGTAACATTAAATGCACAAAATAATGTATATTACGCCCATGCTTCAGACACGAAAAACTTAGACCATTTACTACCTTTTGGTGTAGAGTTAGCTCGGCAATCATGCACAAAACCTGAACATAATCCGGTCATGCAGCATCCAAGATCGATCGTGTGTGTAGTCGTTGGAGCTGGTTGGCTGGAAGAGGGCGCAAGCACAGAAACACGGTCTGGGTGCATTTCGCCATTTCACAAGTGCAAATCGTATATTGCCCGAGATCTCAGTAATATTTTGATTCAGTACATTAGATCAGTGTTTTAAACGCATTGCGCCTTGTA